ACTTGGGAAGTAATGAGAGCATGAACTATGATAACAAGGTTTTCCTGATCCAAGAATGTCAGTAGCTGGTAAACATGCCAAAGGTGGGCATAGACACTCCTCATTGTCAAAGCAACTTGGGCTTGCAGTGACAATTATGAATCTAAGGGCTCATTCACACTATGATTTAACCGGGTTTGCAAATCCAAGACTGGTGATGGCAAAAACCAGAAATCGGGGCTCCCAACAGATGACTTCAAAATTGCCCTTTTTCTTTTAGTGAAATCTGAGAAGGGAGGTTGCATTGTGAAATGGCTTCATTAAAACTTGTCAAGAAGTTTTATTCTGTTGGCTTGGGTCTCAGTCAAGATAACAGTTTCTTTCTCGCTGTAGTTTAATGTAGCAATGCTGTTGTTGTGAATTATGAATACACACACACACATGTCTTAATTGAATTGTGCCAGCAAGGCTGTGTTAGTAAACATTTCATATCTATTTTGATCCTGCTGTGTGTGCTTTCCTCACTATATATGTGCATGTGTATAATAATATGCACATTCACACATACCCTTCTTCTGACTGAGGATAACACCTTGCATATGACATAGGGACTGTATTCAACAAAAGCTTATGACATAATCTGTCTTTCCTTTTTTATGCAAAAATTTTAACTTTTATTATAGCAAAGAGAATACACACACACATTGAATATTTACATTCGCCTACAAACATCATTATCATTATTCTTGTAACAAATCATCTCTAGCTTCATTTTATCACATTTTTCTTTTCATGGCCTTCCTTTTAGTCTTATTTCATTCTCCTTGCGTTATTCACATTTCTTTCTCATCTTTTCCTCCTTCTTCTTCCCACATGTTGTAGTTTCTATTGCATTTTCTCTATTTTCACTATCTTTCACTCCTCTACCTTTAATGTTGTGCTATCCCTTACCTTTCTTGTTGTATCATTCCTTTCCTTTCTCCGTTATCTTTTCCCGTCTTCTATCCTCATCCTACATTCCCATTTTCCTTCCTTCCCTCTTCCTTCCCCCTTTTTTCCTTTTTCTATCTTCTTTACATCTTCTCTTGTCTTCTTCTCACATCCACATACCGGTACCTTCTTTACACTTTCTCTTGCTGTCTTAACCTCTACACATATCTTCTTTAATTTACTTCACCTTTTAACTTACATAATAAATCTGTTTGTCTATCTGAATCCATGCCATCTCCTTTCAAAGTGTTTTTGAACTGGTAGTAATAGGTGTTAGTTAAACCTTGGCTTTCCTCTGGCGCTGATCCTGAGTTGCAAGAGAGGTGAGAATCTGAACAGCGTATGTAAATAAGCAAATCAAGAATTTTTGGCTTAATTAGGAGACTGAAGAAAATTTTACCTGGAAAAAGATGTCAGGGTGTGGAGGTAGAATTGCCTACTCCACCAATTATGAGACTGCAGCATAAACTATGATGAACAAAATGCAATAACCAGACTGGCCCCATGTAAATTGATGTGTATTTGAAGAAACTGTATTTGGAATGAATTTTGCATTGAAGCCAAACATGTTTTGGAGTACAGTAGCATTAAGGAATATGACATCTTGCCTGAAATTAAAATTGGGTGTTAAGTTCAACATCTCCCTCTGTGCTTTTAAAGTTCCCTTTTTAGCAATAGGGCTAGACCTGCTGTCACAAAGAGCAAAGGCCATTGTCTTAGGTAAGCTAACTTGGGGTGTCATGAAGAGTGAAGGCTGAGTAAAACCAATATCCACCTGAGCCGGAGTAGTAAATTCCTACCCACCCACCTTTTGCCATATTAAGGTGCTTAGTACACAAAGTCAATCAAGTTAGAATCACAGAGGCATAGAAAGGAAACTCAAGGGTCAGCTAGTCTATCCCCCCGTCCTGCAGCAATGCTCAGCTAAAGGACTCCTGAGAGATGGCCATTCAGCCTCTGTTTAAAGACCTTCAAAGAAGGAGTGTTACACCCTCCAAGACAATCTATTCCACTGTCAAGCAGCTTTTACCATCAATAAGTTCTTCCTACCATAGAGGGACTCATTTTTCTTGTATCCACTGGTTCATGTTCTAATCTCTGCAGCAGCAGAATACAAGATTTCTCCATCTTCTACATTAGGGGTAGGCAACCTAAGGCCCGGGGGCCGGATGCGGCCCCCCGAGGCCTTTGGACCAGCCCCAGGCCGGTCTTGCCGCCGCTGCCCCCACCGCCGCCCGCCATTATGATATTGATTATTGTTGTTATTACTTGCTCTTGGGGTTTTCTTGGCAAAATCTCCACAGGGGTTTTGCCATGGCTTTTCTGGGGCTGAGAGAGTGTGCATGCATATTTTTTTTAATTTGTTAAAATTATTTTTTAAATTTTTATTTGTTTGTTTGTTTATTTATTTATTTATCTTTGGTGCTTTGGCCCCCCAATTGTCTGAGGGACAGCAACTCGGCCCCCGGCTCAAAAAGGTTGCCTACCCCTGTTCTATATGATAAAGATGGCATATCTTTTCCAAGCTAAACATACCTAGCTTCTTGAGCCATTTCTGATAGGCCTTGACTTCCAGACCTTTGATTATTATGGTCACCGTCCTCTGAACACATTCCGTCTCATTGTGTTTCCCATAATTATTTTGACAGAGGAGGAAGAAAAAGCCACAAGGATCTCTCCACATCCCTGGCAATAAAAAACACATTAACAAATGAAATGATTTGCTGTCCTTGAGGATGGCCATGGCAAACCTGCTCTGAAGAAACTTGCCAAGAAAATTCCAGGATGGGGTTATCTTAGGATTGCCATAAGTTGGAAATGACTTGATGGCACACAACAGCAATAACAAATCTCTCCCCATCCCTGGCAATAAAAACTTAATGACAAATGAAATTATTTGCTGCCCTTTCATGATAGCCCAGATTTGCTACTTGAGGCAGCTGCCTCACTCTATTTCAAGGGTAGGTAAAGTGTGGCACTGGACCTGTTCTTGTGGCTCCTGACCTCTCCAGATTCTATCTTTCTCTGGCAATTCACCATTAAAATAGGTTGAGGGGGCTGATGTGCTTGTCTCCCTTTGTTTTGTTTTAGAGGCTTTGCAACCCCTTCTGGTATATGTCTCGGCTACTGAGAGCGGATAATGTAGACCACCATGGTAAAAGTGTAGACCTATTTATCCTTCAATCTAGAGTTCAGGTATTTACATATTTTCTAACTTTCCTCCTTGCCACCCATCATATTTTTATGATTAAGATAAAATCTTGACACAACGTAAGAGAGAGAAAAATGTATAATGATTGTTGTCTCCTATTCTGGGAATGATAATTTGCAAGGTATAAGCTTTGGAGATACATTTTAAAAAACAACAACACCTCTATAGATAGGTTATCAAATTGCTTTTTAATAATTTTTATATGCTTTCAATTCTATCTGGTTTAATATACAGTTAATAAGTCTTCGTTGATGTATTTTATATGCAATTTCATATGAGTCATACATATGCATAAGAGCGAGTGTGGCATAGTGGTTCAAGTGTTGGTCTAGGACGGTTTTTTGGAGACTAGGTTTCGAATCCCCCTACTCAGCCATGGAAGCCCACTGGATGACTTTGAGCGAGTCACATCCTCTCAGCCTTAGAAGGAAACGACAAACCCCTCTGAATAAATCTTGCCAAGAAAATGCCATGATAAGGTCAAAATAGACTTGAAGGCACATAACAACAATAAGAAGAACATACATATATTTTCTGCAATTCTTCATTCTTTGCCTTGCCTTTAATTATGACTACAAATGTATTATTCCTCCTCCTTTTCTTTTAACAGCCCCTGAAAAAGGTCATACAAATATTCCATGGCCCAAACATGAGCTAATTTGAAAAATAAAACCTTCTTAGATATATCCTGAGGCTCATTCTCTCTCTGTCACATCAGGCACAAATAATTTGACCAGCCTTGGATATTATATTCCTTGACTGGGGGGTTCAGGCAGCCAGATTTCTTGAGCCAAACTTAACATTTACATGAGATTTCATTGTGTCCAGAGCATTCCACATATGTATTGACTTGGAATTATTAGAACGTTGTAAACTTGAGTGGTATTCTTATCCTCAAAAAGCAGATAAGTGAGTTCATGGCAGAAGTGAGGTTCAAACTGGGAACTTCTTTATCTGTAGTTTAGGGCCCTTTCACACTACACAGTTTTAGTTGCCATATCTGTTTCCTATGGGACCCTGGGATTTATACTTTGGGAAGGCAAATTCTAAATGCTCTTCCTAAACTACAAATCCCAGGACTCTATAGGAAGAAGTTGTGACAGTTAAAGCAGAATCATAGAGCCATAGTTGTGTAGTGTGAAAGAGCACTTAGCTGAATAGCTACACTGATATTTTCAGATATTTTTCCTGTGTAGGAGGTCTGGGTTTGAATCCTCACTTACCAAGTCTGTCTTGGATCTATAAAGTGAGTCATCAACAATAACTTGACACAATAAGTGACTGTTGTGAGGATAAATGAGTACGGCAACAGTAGCTAAAGACAGCTTTAGGGATGATTTAAAATATGAACATTTGCAGCCTTTTTGGCTCTGTCTTCTTCTAGCGGTATGGGCATGTTCGAGCAAAGCAACATTATCACTTACTGAAGTCCTGTATTCAGGGAAACTCAGTGGGTCTTCAACAAACTTGGTGCAGCTCCAAGAGTGGGGCTTGTATGCTTGTACCTGTGCATAGGTGGCTAGAGATCTGGCAATATTTAAGCGTGCAAGATTGTGCACTGCAGCTGCATGAAAATGGTGTTAAGTACTTTAATACTGAGTAACCAGAATTACTTTTAAGGTGCGTGCATGTGTGCGTGCGTGCGTGCGTGCATGCGTGCATCATGTGTTGTGTGCCTTCATGTTGTTTCACTATGGCAACCCTAAGGTGAACCTATCATAGGGTTTTCTTGGCAAGATTTGTTCAGAGGAGGTTTGCCATTGCCTTCCCCTGAGGCTGAGAGCATGTGACTTGCCCAAGGTCATCCAGTGGGTTTACATGGCCACGTAAGGAATTGAACCCTAGTCTCCAGAGTCGTAGTCCAACACTCAAACCACTACACCATGCTGGCACTCATATTCTCAAGAAGTGAGACTATACAACATAAGCCAGAGAAGTGTGATAAGCCAAAGACTGTCGCAAGATGCCCAGTACCTACAGTCTGCAGTAAGAGCAGCTAAACACATCACAGAGTGTGTTGTTTGAATACAGGCATTTTCTCCTCTATGCTATGTTTGTCTTCCAACAAAACAGAGAAACAAGCAAGCCAAGAAAATCACAAACCCTGCATAGATTACCTGTGTAGTTTGTTGAGGGAAAGAGACAAACCAGAGTAGCGATTGTACCCACATTCAGATTATATATTAGAGAAGAGACAAAGCAAGATGTCATAGTTTGTTTTGATACTCCTATTAAACAGTGTGTGCATATGCATGCTGCTTATATAACCAATAAACCTGGATCCCCACATTTCCCTGGCATCTCATTGTTGTGCAATTGCATCTGGTGAATTGGCCGCTAGATGGCAGGTAAGGCGCTTGCGCTTCCTTATTTCCCATTGTCTTTGGAAGCAATGGCAAACCTCTTCTGAACCAAGCTTGCCAGGTAAACCCCATGATAGGTTTGCTTTAGGGTCTCCGTAAGTCAGAAATGACTTGAAGGCACACAACAACAACAACAGCAGCTCACACTGACATGGGTGCTGTAAGAGTTTTATAAAGAGTTTTAAATTTTAAAATGTAATGTTTTTAACTTTTTGAAATTGTTTTTTAACTTTGTATTTTTAATGCTTTGTATTGTTTTGTTTTAACTTGGACTGTTTTAAATTTTGTTAGCCGCCTTAAGTCCCTGTACCGGGAGGAAGGCGGGATATTAACAACAACAACTTGTAGCTATTCCCCAAGTAGGCGCACTAAGGAAAGCCCAGCTCTGGCATGCACTTACCTCCTCTCCTTTCTTTCCAGCCCTACAGACTTTGGAGAGATGGACCTACCTCTGGAAGTCCCGCCAGTCCAGCCTCAACCGGAGATTCCCCAGCTCCCTTCTTCCACCCAGGTCTGTGAACTGCGTACGGCTGTGTCTTGCTTTGCAGAAGAGACCGTCTCCCTACTTTCAGCCAATGGACTTCTCAACCACTCCTTACTGAGGACAGCAGGTGGCACAGGGACCCACCCAAGGGAGCCTGGGGTAACCTCAACCATGGCCCGGCGCAAGCGGGAGTTCACCCCAGATGAGAAGAAGGATGACGGTTACTGGGACAAGAGGAAGAAGAACAATGAGGCGGCCAAGCGCTCCCGGGAGAAGCGGAGGGTCAGTGACTTGGCCCTGGAAGGACGGGTGCTGGCACTGCTGGAGGAGAATGCCCGCCTCAAGGCTGAGCTGCTGGCTCTCAAATTCCGTTTTGGTTTGATTCGGGACCCGACGGAGTCCTCCCGGCCAGTGGTGACTCTTGCCCCCAGCCCAGAAGTCCCCCGGCCGACCCCCACACCCCAGCACTACCCGGTGGCTCCTGATCCATCGCGCTACGCTTGCCCCTTCCGGCCAGAGCCTGCCACCAGCTCTGAGGATTCTGGGTTCTCCACTCCCGGCAGCTCCAATATGGGGAGCCCTGTCTTTTTTGAGGAGCGTGACAGGGCGGAGGAAGGAATGGTTTATGAAGGGCACTGCTTGGTGCCTGACACTCCTGGGGAGGGAGCCGATTTGGGCCGAGCCGGTCGTTACGACTCTGGGGAGAGCGTCAAAGGTCTCCCCCACAAGCTGCGTTTCAAAATGGCCGGAGGGGCAGAGGAGGTCGCTGGGGAATCCTCCGGACATTATCCACCATCCCCACCAATAGGATCCTGGAGGGGGCCAGCCACCCGGGAGGAGCAGAGGAACATAGGAGTGCCTGGCAGTGCCATGGCATTTGATGGCTGCTGTGAAGCCGAGACCCCTGGTGCCCAGCTGCCAGCCCTCCAGGGATCTCAGTACCAGACAGAGAACAGCACCCTGCGGAGTCAGCTTGCCTCACTTTCGGCTGAAGTGGCCCAGCTCAAAAAGCTCTTCTCTGAACAGATCCTGATCAAGATGAACTGAATGGACAGGGGAAGCAAGGCTAAATGGGTTAATAGGTTGCTCTTAGTGGATTACTTTCTCTCTTCATTCTTCATCCCCACTCTCCAGTTGTCAAACTCTGTATGTATATATTTGTACATAATGTGGTCAGTTTTCTTCTGTTTCCCTTCATTAAATTCCCTTCATTCCCTCCTTGAGAATATGTGCCCCTCATCACTATGAACCCTTATTTCCAACAGCTCTCAAACTTTTTACGTTCAGGTAATTTATGTTCTACCTGAACTTCTCCATCACAAAACCTTTCCGTTTCCTTAGAAGACTCCAGTAGGACACTGAAGTTGGGAATGCAGTTTATGTGGGTCAAATGGGGTCCAGGACACTCCTGACAGGCTATAGATGATAGTTTATGGATGCTGTCTATCAAGTACCAAAATGATTTGGTACTTGAGGGAAAGAACATGATAGCACCCTACCCCATCCATCCTTTTCAGTATACCAGAGTGAAATGGACTGGGAGCAGTGGTCTCACTAGGGGGGTGCAAGGGGTGTGATCCTCACTGGGTGACTCCTGCAAGCTTTGCCATAGTGGCGAAGGAGAGGGTCTAGCATCCCTCTCCCAACTTTGCCACCGTCGCAGAGACCTCCTCATGAGGAAACTATTGCAGCGAAGGAGAAGACTGAACATGCCACTCCTGGCTTTACTACCATGGCGAAGGAGAGGGCTGAGTGCACCCTTTTGGCCCTCTTGCACTGAGGGACACCAGAAGCGAGGACACTACTGACTGGTAGCTTAATTTTACTCCAGCATGGCAGATGGGACAGCGTCCTTCACTGCACCTAATTTACAGCATGTAGAATAGGCCCTGAGAGCCAGGGTGGTGTAGTGGTTTGAGTGCTGGACTACAACTCTGGAGACCAGGGTTTGATTCCCAGCTCAACCTTAGAAGGCAATAGCAAACCTTCTCTAAACAAATCTTGCCAAGGCAACCCCATGATAGATTTGCCTTAGGGTCGCCATAAGTCGGAAATGACTTGAGGGCACACAACAACAAGAACAACAACAAAGAATAGGCCCTATGACACATGCAGCTCTGTTTTCTAACAGAGAGGAATGACTGGAGGAACATGGCTGCTGGTCCGTCCTCCCCCCCCCATCTGCCTTTTGAGGCAGTTGCCTCACTCTGCCTCATGGTAGGGCTGGCCACTGCTGATCTTTTACTGAGACTGGGTTTCTCAGTATCTCCAGACCAACAATACTCAAAAGCCAATATCCTATTCAAACTTGAGCAACATCAGCTCTTTTAGCTATACACTTTTCTCTCCAATGAGTTGAACTAACCCCACTTTCCAGTACCAATCAATGGTCACCAATTGTTGGTCTTCCCTCAGTAAGAATAGTGGATCCCAGTTTCCTTTGTATAGGCTCCCTCTCCCAGCTTAGTTTTGATTTTATTACTTTTTCCTAGGTTGGAAAAATGAAGTAGATCAGAGGGACCACACAGATGTTAGTAGGAGTTAAAAACAGCTGGGAAGAATTACTTTTTTGGGGGGGGGATATGATTTCCAGGATTCACAAGCTAGTATGGCTGGTAGTCAGGGTGGCTCGTGAATTTGGAGTCCTAGTCCAAGGAAGAGGAAGAAGAACTTCTCCAAGCTCTGCTCCCTCTCAATGATAACACAGGCCAAGGTACTGGCATGGTGGGGTCAGAGGAAATCAAAGAAAATGAACTAGTAGACCAGGGACCTTTTCACATTGAACTTAAAATGGAATCATACCACCATAATTGTGTAGTTTGAATGAGCTCCTCAATGAAGGAGAGACCCAGCACTTGAATGGCAGATAGCAGTGTGTTCCTCACAACTTCACTGCCTCCCATTGTTATGCCACCTTGCTCAGTGCTTCATTTTTGGGTCTCAGACTTTCCTGGAAGGCAAACCTCACCATCCATGAGGTTTGGGAGCTTGTTGTAAATGCTTTGTAGTGTATAAAAGACACTTTGCATATGTTCCAATGTACTCTCTTTTATTTCACAATATTATTTGATATGTTCCACTGTGAAATCTTGACATTGAAAATATTCAGCTGTAGATCTTTTTTCCCCCCAGCTGATTGATCATCTGCCTTTTAATCTAATAATTTCATTGATTTTAAATAAATTTGTGTATTAGTATATCCTCTGTATGGATTCATTTTTTGGCAGAATGACCAGTTTTAGTAAACAAACTCATTATTAGAAGAGAATACCATCATTTTGTCCATTCCCTGTTACAAGAACTCACCAGGCTCACCAAAGCAACCCCATGAAATAAACATATATATTCTCAATTCATTTGTTCATATCCTCTCAATTAATCAACTAAATTTTTGATTGACTGATCTGTTTAAGTCTCACTGTCTTGAAATTAAGTATAAAGTCTCTGCAAACCTGTTCAGCTCAACCAAATTTGAATTTCAGGAAGACATCTTGGTGTATTAGCCCCCCTGCCTGCATTGTGCAGGGCATAGAGGAGTGCACCCAGGATGACCAGACATCCTCTTTTCCCAAGACATGCCCTACATTTCAACCTTCTGTCCAGGAGGAATTCCAAAATGTCCTCCATTTCGAGCATCACTAAGAGGCATGGATTTTCATTTATTTCAATGAATGTTTTTTAGCTTTTCTTTGGAAATGTCCTACACTTCCTACCTTTTGCAGTGCCTTGTCCTCGTTTGCAGTGACGACATCTCCTCACTCTATGCTGACTTACCTGCATTGATGCAAATTTAGAAATATATCCAGAGTGACCAGAGATCCTCCTTTTCCAGGACATATGCATAAAGTTATATTTATATTGGTGTTGTTTATTTTGTAATGTTCTACATTTTGGGGTACCCTGTCCTCCTTTGTGGTTAGCACATCTGGTTACCCCAACTGCACCATTTCAGATGCTAGTGAGGGTGCCATTTTTGACTGGAAAGTCATTGTTAGCTGGCACTGGGCACTGTGGGGAACTTTAGGGCAGCATACAGACTCTTAT